CTCTCTCTCTCTCTCTCTCTCTCTCTCTCTCTCTCTATATATATATATATATATATATATATATATATATATAAATAAAATAAATATTTATAAGTACATGACCAAAAGAGCACATAAGCTGGGAGGAAGACAAATGGAATTAAGATGTTTTATGGACCTTGCATTGTCCAGGAAGGAGGTAAAAGCACCAAATAAGATTAGATTTCTATAATCCAGAATGACATTGTAATAACTTGAGTAACCACCAGAACAATATTATAATGTAAATCTTCCAAAATAACGTGAATAAATGTAGTAATAAAAAATCATTGCAATACTGAGTGGTAGTGGCGGGGGGGCGGCAGTGCAAGGAAAGGATGCCTCCCTAGGTTTAAATAAACATTCTGACTCAAAAGACTTACAGCCTGCACCTGGCAGGAATCTACCCAGGAGGACAAGAACATGGTTTGCCAGCAGGCATGTCAAGGTCATGCAGTAGCCCATACCGCAGTCAGGTAATAGCTTGGGCACAATAAGATGAGGTCCGTATCAGACAGATGTGGGAAGTGCCCTTGGTTTAAAAGCCTCATGCCCCATAGGATTCAATATCTCTTGTGACAACTCTAAAGACATAGCTTCCAGGGTCCTTGAAAGGGACATGCCTAATACAAGAGTCATCACACTCAGGAAGCCAAAAGTATGTCATCCCCACCAGACAATTACCATTCTCCCAGTACAGGTGCAATTTACCAATAGGGGTAATTTTTATCTTAAGTGATGTTGCCTAGTAATATAGTTGATATACATCATACTAGGTTAACAGGGGAACAGAATTTTGTTTACCTTCTGCCCACAGTAATCAATCAAAAAGGTTAGGAAGCAAAGAAAAAGAAACATACAAGAGACAAACAGAAAGCACTAATGAGATGGTTGATTTAAATACAACGTACGATAGCTACGTTAAGAGTAAATGAACTGGGCTTCCCTGGTGGCACAGTGGTTAAGAATCCGCCTGCCAATGCAGGGGACATGGGTTCAAGCCCTGGTCTAGGAAGATTCCCACGTGCGCGGAGCAACTAAGCCCATGCGCCACAACTACTGAGCCTGCGAGCCACAACTGAAGCCTGCACGCCTAGAGTCCGTGCTCCGCAACAAGGGAAGCCACCACAATGAGAAGCCCGCGCACCACAACAAAGCGTAGCCCCCGCTCGCTGCAACTAGAGAAAGCCTGCACACAGCAACGAAGACCCAATGCGGCCAAAAATAAATAAATAAACTTATTTAAAAAAAAGAATAAATGAACTAAATGATTTATTTGAAAGACAAAGATGGTCAGAAGGGATAAACAACAAAACTAACTATATGCTATTTATAAGGGACAAACTTGAAACATAAGGATATGGAAAGGTTGAAAGTAAAAGGGTGGAAAAGGATACACCAATCAGTATATGCAAGCCCTGGCCAAAAGAAAAGCTACTTTTAACTTTTTTATTCATGCAAAGCTGACTTTAAGACAAAAAGCAATATAAAGACATTTCATAGTGATAAATGACTCAAACACTAGGAAGATATAACAGTTCTAACTTGAATAAGCCTAATAAATTCTCAAAATATTTGAAGCAAAAATGGAAGGCACAACAAGAAGTAGACAAGTTCAGAATCAAAGTAGGTTTTATCACATGTTTCAGCACTGATAAAACAAAGTAATTAGTAAGAATGCAGAAACATTGGACAATAATGACTAGCAAACTAATGGATGTGTATAGAATATTAAATGCAAATAATTTTAACACATAAACAAAACATATAAAGAAAACTTCACAAATTTCTAAGGACTGAAATCACACAGAGTCTATCCTCTGATCAAATGAGATTAAGCTAGAAATCAAGAGCAAGAAGATAATTAGAAAATCTTATATGATTGGAAATTAAGAAATATACTCCTAAATTACCCTCGGGTCCAAAAGAAAATTACAGTATGAATTAGAAAATATTTTGAACTCAATAATTTATGCAATCATGTGGGCAAAGCAATCTTAGTGTAAGGTATCATTTGAGTAGTATAAGTAACTTTACTAAACAGAAACCAGTTGAATGGAATTTTACCAGTATTGACTGATTATGCACAGGAAGTGGTAACACTGGAATAGACATTTCATGACCAGCTAAGGGGTGGGGGAATGCCCTTTCATCCCCATTAGTAACATAAAAACCTTCAGATAAGGAAGCCCGTGGAAATGCTTTCTCTATATTTAATCAGCATTCTGTTTCAATTTATAAACACCGCCTCCTCTCTCCTTTGTAAATATCCAGATTGACTCAACCTAAGAAATCCTAAATTTGACAAATTCTAAGTGTCTTATTAAGGTTAAATTCCCAAAGTTGATAGTGATCTTATTATCTTGCACTTACAAACCTGTTCTCCCTATATTTCTGTGAAAAACATCCTTTGCCAAAGTACACCAATCAGTATATGTATTAGGCAGAAGATACCTGATTTAGATAGATATTCATCTATTGATATTTAACATGTGTTGAACAGTATCAAATAGAGTCAAAAGCAAATTCAAGTTCATTTAATAATTTACTGACTGTTCAGAGTGCTTTATGAGGTATCAAGAAGTATATAAAATTAGTAGAAGTCATTCTTTAGATTCAAAAGGCTTATAATCTAGGTGGCGATAAGACATGCATTTAAAAACACTGTGTGCTATAGTTAATAATACTGTATTGTATATTTGAAAGCTGCTGAGAGTAAATCTTAAAAGTTCTCATCACAGGGAAAAAAAGTGTAACTGTGCATGGTGATGGATGTTAATTAGACTTATTGTGGTGATCATTTTGCAAAATATGCAAATATTGAATCATTATGTTGTACATCTGAAACTGATCTACTGTTGTATGTCAACTGTGTGTATGTCAATAAAATAAATAAATAAAAAATTTAAAAGTAAAACAAAACCACTGTGTGGACTCTGAGAAAATGCACTTCTGGTGATGGAGGACTAGGCAATTCATATCAACCTTCCTGAGGAAGTCACTGAATAAAAGTGCTACACAAAATATGCAGAGAGGGGAGAAATCTCAATGCATCAAGGGCTGATAACATAGCCAAGATGAGAGTAAGAATAAAGTCCAGAGGGTGTCTTAGAGGCAACCGTCAATCTGGAGAGGCAGCTGTGAGGCTGAGCACAACTGCTGACAGCCTGTGGGGTTCAGGGGATGAACGCTGGAACTTGAGACCTTGGATGCAGAACTACACGTTGGTCTGGAATCCTGAAGAGCTAAACCTGGGAGTTAGAGGTGAATGGAAAATAGTCTGGCACTTTCAGGGATGGGAGGCAGCTCAC